TTTTTTTTTGGAATTTGATTGTTAAAATAAATTAATTTATTTGCACTTTCGGGAAATATGTGTTTATTTTGGAAAGTGCTACATTGTCAATCTAGTGTACAACTAGGTTGACAAGGTGAAAACATTTATTGCGCTATATTTGGCGCAATACTATTCATTTCTCTACATCTTTTCTTTTTCTTTTTTTTTGGGTAGTTTTTTTTATGTATTTTATTGTAATATTAATGATAATATTTTGTATAATGTGTATTAGTAAATTTATTTTTATGCTAAATAATTTGTTCAATTTATTTTTATACTATATAATTTTGTGCTTTTATTTATTGATGTATTTTAATTATTTTAAATTTTTTTAATATTAAAATAGTATCATATTAATAAAATTTTGACACAATCAAACAAGTAGATTTCGTTAAAATCAAAAGTTTACAACACATGTAAATCAAAAAATACATAAATTAGACTAACATAATATTAAAGTTAAAAGATTAGAACACACATAAATCACAAAATACACAAATAAAAACAACATAATTAAAGATGACATAAAAAAAACTACAACACACATAAATCATAAAATACACAATTAAAAATAACATTTATATAAGATTAAATATACATATATACCAATATATTTAAAATAAAAAATAAATACAAAAATATATTTGACGTAGAGTAAATGTGGAGATAAGGGTTGGAAATGGATGTTTAACTCTACTCTTTAGTTGTACAGTATACTGACATACTAGCATTTTATTTTTGTTCATTTTGCTTCTTTCCTAATCTAATATTACTTGATGTATTGATTTTTATTTATTTTTTCCTGTACTTGATGTATTGGTTTTCATTTTTATTTTTTTTCAAACAATAGGAATTTATCATAACTATTTTTTATGGAGAGACTATTTTTTTTTTTTAAACAATAGGAAATGTCATAACAAGAAAGAAGTTTGGAATCGTCTCTCTATCGTCTCTGCATCGACTCTGCGAACCAAAAAAATACAAAAACCCATCGTCTCTCCATAATCTTGCCTCCGCCGGTGATGTCGAGGTCGGCGCAAGAGGAGGCGCCAAAGGAATACCGAAATGGTAGGGGTGAAAAGATCGCTCCAGATGGCTCCGAAGAGAAGATTAGACCTATCTCTCAGCCTGATCTGCTCCCAAGCCGAGGTAGTAGAAAACACACTCGATGATGTAAGTCTCCACCTCATGCCATCCGAACTGTCCCCCAAGATGGGAATCTCTTGGATCTGATCTAATAAATGCTCGCTAAAACCCGCCCCAAGGCCCAACTCCTTATCAAGCTTCCTCCTATCCCACGACCCATCCGTCCAAAGGTCGATCACAAGCAGGAAGGGGGAATGCGACACCTGCCTATCCCTAGACAATGGTCTATCACCTATCCACCACTCATCCCAAAAACTAACCTCGCCATCACCCAAAACCCAAAAGATGTGATCCTGGGCGCGCCTACCGACCCTAGTAAGACGCCCCACTGTCTACTATCATGAGCCAATGCTGTCACCCAACAAGGGTGGTTGGCGCATCTAGGGCAGTACTTGCCGCGAAGGTACTGAGCCCAAAGCGTCTTTCCTTCCCTGAAGCGCCACCACAACTTGTAGGAGAAGGCAGTAACAATATCCCTAAGGCGGCGGATGCCAAGGCATCCCTCAGAGAAAGGGCGACAAATAGAGTCCCAACTCACCCAGTGGGTACTTCTCCCCCTCCCGGAACCGTCCTCGTAATCCCAAAAATAACGAGCCATAATCTGGTCAATGTCGTCAAGAGTAGACCTAGGGGGTCGAGGACCATAAGTAAGTGAAGCGGAAGAGAGATAAGGTTGCTCTTGATCAGCGCAAGACGACCACCGAAAGAAAGGTGTCTATGCGACCAACCAGAGATCCTGTCGATCATCCTCTGTCTAATGTCCACAAAGAGCGCTCTCGAGAGGTAACCCTTATATAAAGGGGCACCAAGGTAGGTAATGGAAAGGTCGCCGCGCAGAAAGCCAGTGATCTCATGGATCCGCTGAGCCCAACTGTCCGCGCTGGAGGAGGAGAGGGTGAAGACTGGCCGGTAACCGAGCTATAATGCTCCAGAAGGTGCATAAGCTCGATCAGCCCATCATCATCCGCTCGGGTGAAGATGATGATGTCATCCGCATAAGAAATGTGCGAGATGGGAGGACCATAGCCACGGGTGTTGTATGTCATCCGTGGATAGTCGCGGATGAAGCCGTCAAGGCAGCGAGAGAGGTAGTCCGCTGCAAGAACAAAAAGGGATGGAGAAAGGGGGTCACCCTGTCTAAGGCCCCTAGAGGAGGGAAAGAAGTCGGTGGGGCTACCATTAACCAGGACCGAGAACGTGCAGTGCTCCACAATCTGTAGTTGCTAGGTTAGTTCTATGTAGTTGCTAGGTTAGTTCTATGTAGTTGTTAGGTTAGTTCTTTGTAGTTTCTAGGTTAGTTGTCTGAAGTTGCTAGGTTAGTTCTCTGTAGTTGCTAGGTTAGTAGTTGCTAGTTTAGTTCTATGTAGTTGCTAGGTTAGTTCTCTGTAGTTGCTAAGTTTGTTGTCTGAAGTTGCTAGGTTAGTTCTCTGTAGTTGCTAGGTTAGTTGTCTGAAGTTGCTAGGTTAGTTCTCTGTAGTCTAGGTTAGTTCTCTGTAGTTGCTAGGTTAGTTCTATGTAGTTGTTAAGTTAGTAGTTGCTAGGTTAGTTCTTTGTAGTTGTTAGGTTAGTAGTAGTTAGGTTAGTTGTTTGTAGTTGCTAGGTTAGTTGTTTGTAGTTGCTAGGTTAGTTGTCTGTAGTTTCTAAGAGTTGTCCGCATTTTAAGAGCTGGCCTCATTTGATCCGCCCCCTATATATATATATATATATAACGTGAGAATCATATTTGATGCTATTTTTAATTTTGTACGATGCTATTTTTAATATTGCATGGTGCTATCATTTTCACAAATGCTAATATAAATTTTATTGCTATTTTTAATAAAATACATCCTAGTTAAAAATAGCATTAAAACATAACCAATCATAGCATTACATACAATTAAAAATAGCAGTTCTCACGGTTCTCACGCTAGGGCTTAGTTCTCATTTGAACCACATCATATATATATATGGTTCGATTCACATGAGAATGGTGTCTACTGAAAGAAATGAAAATAGATTGTAGCCATTAGATCGGATGATCTAATGGCTCAAAAAAAGTTAAAAGTATATCTTCACTAAAGGTAATGTTGTAATTTCTAAACACAAACAGTGGGACTCACACCACCACACAACCATTAAGACATGGGACAACCTACTACTAACTCACTCGCTATATCGCTCACACACATGCCACATCATATACCACCAACACACAAGCACACCACACGCAAAACACATGCACACACCCACACCCACACAACACACGCGGATACACGCACACACACAACAGGTCCCAATGCAATATATCTCACCCCACACACACACACACTAAACCCACACACCGCCACCTGCAACCGGTGAGCCGTCGTCCTCACGCATCCGGCCGTCATGCTGTCGTCCTCATGTTGTCGATGTCCTCACGCCGGACGTCGCCGAATTCTTCAAGTAGAGTCCTCTCGGTCGCTGCAAAAAAAAAAAAAGATCAAGCAACCTTTTCCTTGCCTTCCCCGCCGCCCCCGTCGAAATCGTTGTTGTTTGCCCCATAACATGCGTGGCCTACGACCGATGCTCGTCGTAGGTAAACACCTTCAGCTGCCCTGTCAACTCACCATGCGTCAGGCGGCTGGTGATGGCTCGCAGGCTCCTCGCCGGCGAGAGGATAACAGACTGGCGTGTGGCAGGGTGGTGGTCCGCCGTCGGTGGTGGAACGGCTGAGGAACTGATTTGTTGGATAAGGACTAGTGCTTGAAAATCCAATAATTTACAAGGATTGATTTGCAATTTTATGAGTTTTAGTTATTTTCAATTAAACCTTTGGGTTAATGTGTGAATTCATAACGATTTAACATTATTTCGATTCAGTCCATGGTCCAAATCTACAATTTATAGAAAATATATCAAACCATGTTATTTTGTATATATTTTTCAAAATATATATATATATTGTGTATTATAAATAAAAAATAATATAAATTATTATATAAAAAACATTAACATCTTAAATATACTTCTAAAATATAAATGTGTAACAGATTTGCAATTTATAGCAATATTCTCATAAATACATATTAATGATAAATAAAGTGTACAGTGTTTAAAAATTTTAAAATGTGATACTTAAATATCTAATTCGATGTACAATTATATCTACCAAATATAATTTTTAAAAACACATAGTTTCTATGTGATCATATAATTTAGTGTATTTTATACATCATCAAATAGCACTTTATAAAACAACATGTCGCACTTTATAAAATAACATGTTGCACTTTATAAATTGAAGCGTGTCCCGCCAAAATCGCACACAATGTAAATCTAAAAAATGGATATACATAATATTTCACATATATCACAACTTTTTTCCACACAAGCATGCCAACATAGTAAATTTACAGTAGTTCACTTTATACATCAGTATGTTGCACTTTATAAATCAACGAGTTGCACTTTACAAAACAACACGCTGCACTTTAGCACGCTTTTTTATTGCACAATAGAAATCGAAACCGATATGACTAAAAAATTTTCAACGTAAAATAATATAAAACTAATAAATAAAGTTATTAACATAATAAATATAATTTGGTATGAATAAAAGATTTTTTCAATTATTTGGGGTAATTCGGTTAACCGAACCGAATAACCCAATTGATTATGTTATTTTTCAATTTGATCTTTGGCCAAAATTTCGGTAGGTACAATCTTCACAATACAGACCGACACCGCGCACTATATTGTTGTACAAATTGCACCTTATTAACTTTTCGGGTTGCACCGTATATTTCATTTGCATATATACTAATTCTTTTAATCAAAACATACTATGATATATCAAATAAACACGAAATTATACACCAATCATGATTTTTATAATAAATAATATAATTTATGTTGATTATTTTGGTTTATATGAACAGACAAATTAAACCGATCGCGAGATTTCAGTTTCAATTTTTTTTTTTTTTAATTTACATAACCAAAATATCTGGACAACCAAATTATATAAAAAAATGTTATTATCTTTTTATGTATTTTTATGTACCATATTATTTGTTTTCAACCAAACATTACATAAAAATATTGACATATTAATTATAGTTTTGACTAATTACAATTTTGACACATGAACTAAATTGTAATATATTAAAATTCTAAAATTGCAATCAAGTCCTTACTACTTATCTAATCCCCAATTGAAAAAACTGCAACTCGACCGTCATCTTCTCCACAACCAGCCATCTCTGCCGCCACCGACCACCGTTGCCTGAAAATCGACGCCGACGAGAATGGGGCGGCACTGAGGAGTTATGCAAGAGGAATTTGCCGAGACTGGTTGTCGACAAACTACTCGTCGGCTTCTTCGCCGGAGTATCCTATGTCGCAACAGACTAAAGATTGTTGGCGATGGATGCACGACGGCGGGATGGCGAAGGTGGGAGGAGGAGGACTGAGATGGCGGAATTGACATAATCATGTCGGATGCGAGGCAGCGACTTGTGAAGGTATACGAAGGAGGCCTGAGACGGCGGATGTGCGGCAGCGGGCTTGTGAAGTTACGACAGCACAGCAGACGAGCGGCGGCCTGGGACGGCGGAGGCGCGGCTGATGAAGGGCGGGTGCACAACAAGGCGCTTGTGAAAGGTCACGACTACATAGCGGACGGACGGTGGGCCTAGTTAGCGGATGCGCGACGGACGAACGGTTGTTGCGCGGTGAATGAATGGGGATGCACGGTGGTGGTCTCCGTAAGAAAAAATTGGTTTTGTACCGATTTAACGATTCTATTTTTTGTAAGTAGAAGACTAAGAAAATTCTCAAAACCTTTTTAAGGTGAATGAGAAATTAATTCTAAGTGTTATATTTTGATTAATTGAGTTTAAATAACTCAAAAGTTTGTAGGGTTCACAAACATTATATTTTAATAAATGTTTGGACAAACTAAACGAGCCATAAATATGCATTATGTATGCTAAAATTGTTGAGGAGCTCGTTGGAGACAAGTAGGAAAAAACAGAACTCGATTCTGAGTCCGTATGAGCTCGTACGAGCCTGCGGCGCACGGGCGCGCAACTGGCTGCAGAAATCAAAGGGTCGCAACTCTTGGTGATCATAAAGTGTCTTTTGGCCACTAGATGCATCCGTTCTCGTTCGGACACGTCCCAAAAGGTGTCTTTTGACACTTAAACCTCTTGGAGGTGTTTTCCTACATCTATAAATACCTACATAGATGAAATCATACATAACTTGAACAACATGAAAATTAGAGAGCTCTTGCATTATTTTTCAAAGATCATATAGCATATTGTGGTCTATGATTTTTTCATTGAGTCTTGAGAGTTCTAAACAATAGTAGTGTTCGCCGAAAGCTTGTATATTTGAAGTACCGCTATATACAAGTCGAAAGTCGTTGTATCTTAAAGGCGTTTGCCGTTAACCGTGGGTATTTTACGGGGCAATTTCGTCTTAAGAAGAACGTAATTAGTACGTGCCTCGACTTTGATTTTTGTTTCGTTTTCTTCATTTTCCTTAAGCCATTCTTTTGATATTCACAAACAACACAAACTACAGTCTCTGTGGGTGTGAGTGTGTGTGTGTATGTGTGTGTGTGTGTCTGTGTGTGTGTATGTGTGTCTGGTGAGTGTGTGTGCAAGGAGGAGAGGGAGGATATTAGGGTGATTGATTGTGGTGGGACTAGAGCTGTCAAAACATGCCGGCTCATAGTCTGCCTATTGGCGGGGCGGGGAGGGCCTATGAAAAGCAGGCCCAACCTGTCCTTCCCTGAGGGCGCGGGTTCGGCGGGCCAAGCCCGCCTATTTTATTTATTTATTTATCTTTTAAATTACTGTAACTTGCAGGAGTATAATTGTAATGGAAACTTCCAAAAAAAGCATGCTTTTAAAGGGAGACAGAGG